AATGAAAATTTATCGAGCCAAATTTGAAATATAATTTTTTTATCTGAAAAAAACCGTAGCACAGTAAGGAGCAGGCCTATCTTCTACCACCTATAGAAACCATCATAAGCATTGAATGGGCTTGCCATTTAATTATGTCACGTGTATACTTGTAAATAACATACTCCATAAAAATAATCAAAATTTATCGAGCCAAATTTGAAATATAATTTTTTTCTTCTGAAAAATCGGTAGCTCAGTAAGGAGCAGGACTATCTTCTACCAACTATAGAAACCATCATAAGCATCGAATGGGCTTGCCATTTTTTTATAACATGTGTAAACGTGTGAAGAACATACTCCATAAAAATAATGAAAATTTATCGAGCTAAATTTGAAATATAATTTTTTTAGAATCTGTAAAAATCGGTAGCTCAATAAGGAGCAGGCCTAACTTCTACCACACATAGCAACCATCATAAGCATTGACTGGGCTTGCCATTTTATTATAACATGTGTAGACGTCTAAATAACATACTCCATAAAAATAATCAAAATTTATCGAGCCAAATTTGAAATATAATTTTTTTTAGAATCTGTAAAAATCGGTAGCTCAATAAGCAGCAGGCCTAACTTCTACCACATATAGCAACCATCATAAGCATCGAATGGGCTTGCCATTTTTTTATAACATGTGTAAACGTGTGAAGAACATACTCCATAAAAATAATGAAAATTTATCGAGCTAAATTTGAAATATAATTTTTTTAGAATCTGTAAAAAATCGATAGCTCAATAAGGAGCAGGCCTAACTTCTACCACACATAGCAACCATCATAAGCATCGAATGGGCTTGCCATTTTATTATAACATGTGTAGACGTGTAAATAACATTCTCCATTAAAATAATGAAAATTTATCGAGCGAATTTTAAAATATAATTGTTTTTTTTTAATCTGTTAAATCGGTAGTTGGGTAAGGAGCAGGTCTAACTGTTACCACATATAGAAACCATCATAAGCATCGTATGGGCATGCTATTTTATTATCACATGTATTGACTTATAATGTAACATAATCCATAAAAGTAATCTACATAAATCTAGTCAGATGTATGTTTGTAGTGTGAAATGCACTTTGAGGTTAGTGGAAGTAGGCCTACATATCAATGGAATAAAAACAAGTGTTATTAGTGGTCATTGCACTTTATTTCGGCACCGCATTAATATAAAAATGGTATACTAGTAAAACAAACACTTAATAACTGCTCAAAAGGTGTAATTTAAACATAAAATGTATTTGAGGTTAGGAAGTTTTGACATGTGACACATGTGTTTGAGGTTAGAAAGTTTTGATACATGCATTTGAGGTTAGGAAGTTTTGATGCCACGGCCTTCTTGATCTACTGATCTGACGTGACGTCATAGCTTAATGTTGGTTTATTGGCAGTTTCACAGACATAATTTTTATATGTCTACTTACAGTATTTTTAACGCTGAATCCAAAAATGCAATCAGTTTTTGTCGGAGAGATTCCTAAGTGGCCGTAGTGGCCGTAAAACGAAGGTTAGGATTACGAATCTAAGGATAATTGAGCGGTACTGAAGGTAATGGTAATATGGCGTGGTCTGGACGGGTCCGTTCTGAGTGAAGAGTGAGGACTGAGTGAGAAGAGCAAACAACTGTTTACTTTATCTAAAGCGGAATGAAATAAAATCAATTAGTTTTGAAACCAAATAATCAGTTCTTATTTAGGCATGTGAGGAAGGTAGGTCGGGTTTTATGCGGATTCGTGACTGTATTAAGGGTTTTGAAGTGAGGTTAGATTAGGGAAGGTAAAGGTTAGGAGTCGGTTCATTATAACCTAACCTTTAACTTAGCCTACCTAATCTAACCTCACTTCAAAGGAGTTAATATAGTCACGAATCCGCATAAAGTCCGACCTATCTTCCTCACTTCCTCGGACATACATATATATTATACTAGCCTAGGTATATTGTTCACGTGTAAGGCTACTGTAAACAATATTAATAAATAATACACCATAGTACCCTTTTTTTTTAATTATTTTTAATGACTGATGCATTTTGCCTCTTAGGTCATGGTATCGCCTAGGCCTAAAAAAAATTTGAACGAACAGTGTTTTTGGCCTCTGGGGACACCAAAATGAAAAAGTAAATCGGTCCCGAGCCTATGTCTTACCATAAGACCTACGGTAATACTTAGCTACTTCCCTATGAGTAATAAAATACGCAGAGGATACGCGTCCGGTAACCGGACGTGGATTAGGCGTCCGGCAGTTACTGTCATAACCTAACCTAACCAACCAAACTTGCTGATAGTGAAAAAAATCAAATGAAGGTTCAATTCTCTTCATAACATAAGATTATAAATGCCAAAAGTTCTAACAAAAGATGTACAGTTAAGAAGAAATTACATTCAAAGCAAAATCTGTGACAAAAAGTTAATGTTACCGATGGGTTTCGAACCGGGGACCTCTCGCATATCAGTCGAGCACTCTATCCACTAGGCCTACACCACGAACATTGATGGCTGACCATCGTATCATTGTGGTAATGGCGTTCCGGGACCCCCTACCGGACGCCTAATCTACGTCTGGTTACCGGACGCCTAATCCACGTCTGGTTACCGGACGCGTATCCTCTGTGAATAAAATAGGCTAACTAAAAAGAAAAACACAAAAATTAATTTAAAATTAAAAAAACCAACCTTTGTTCTTATGGGTTGCTGAAATAACAAAATGTAAACAGAAAGTAAAAACAAATGGAAGAAATTGCAATCACATGTTTTATTTACACTGTGGGGTGAAAATAGAGAAGTTTGTGCGCAGTAAATATTTGAATCGAGTTTTCGACCACTAGTTTAGCCATATAAAAATATATAGCCCCATGCTCCCCGACTCTTCTGACTTAAACTGATTGATACGGGTTTTGCCGGAGAGGTGTGAGATTGAAATAATGTTTCCTAGAATCGGTTCCTAGAAAGATGCACGTGAGGTACTGTTAAGTCACTCCTAAAGCTGCCAGCTGGCGATATACATACATATTTTTTTATAAAACAAATACGCCCGGTGGAAAACTCCGTAGGTAGTATCACCGATGGAGGCTTAAGTTTCGATTTTTCAACAAACTGTTAAAAATTGAGAATCCATCCTCAACTTACTTATTTTTGTCATGGGACGCTAAGGAGACTTGAGCCCGGTATTGTTTTTCACATTCACTCCTCAACCTACGGTACTGGATTAATCTTACTAATATTATAGACTAAATCTGAAAGTTTGTGAGTTTGTGTGTATGTTTGTTGCTCAATCACGCATAAACTACTGGACGGATTGGGCTGAAATTTGGCATGATGATAGCTCACATTCCCGATTAACATTCAAGCATATTCTTATCTCAAAAACCCTTTCGGGCTCCGCCCCAGTGGCTCTGTAGTTCCTCATGTTAATCTTATGATTTTTCATATTTAAAAGGAATGAATGAATCTTAACAGCTGTTTCAAATAAACAAGTTGGTTCTGTTCTATGATGTTCAATAGCATTAAAGTTACAAGGATTACCAACAGGGTTCAGCACTATTATTTTTTTTAAATTTATGACAACAGCTAATTTCCAACCAAAAGGTGAGTGAGCGTAGCGAACGAACTTCAACGTGGAGGCGAGTTAGCGTAGCGAACGAGCTAACCTGAAAGCAAGTGAGCGCAGCGAACGAGCTCCAACCTAAAGGTGAGTGAGCGTAGCGAACGAACTTCAACCAGGACGTGAATGAGCCATGCGAATACTTATGAAGTTAAACGGGGCGAAGCCCGCTGGTACAGCTAGTAATATAATAAATACACAATCTTAGGAAATAAATAGAATAGGAATATTTTAAAAATCTTGATGAATTCTTTAACAAATACCATAGACTTAAAAGTTTATTTTACACAAAGTCCAAACGAATATTATTGTCAATTGCTGTGTTGAATCAAAAATCTTGAAAGTGTGTTAACTTAAACCCTTATGCATGAGTCACTCCAACTCAATCTTTGTAAGTAGGCCTACTCAGAGGAGATTAGAAGATTAAGAGATAAGTACACAAGCATAATGTATACTCCTTTTCAATTGCTTGTCATTTAGTTTTTAGTCAATGGGCTTTTAAATGTGCTCCAGAGCTTCTTAAATTGTATAATCCTTTCATAATTTTGTGAGCTCTTAAACATTTTCTTAATTGACCAGGTCACAGGGGGTCTATAAATAGCAGAGGTAAGACTTAACCTACCAAATTTACTAACTTACGTAACTTAAGTATATTTTATTTGGGCTGAAAATAGGCTTAGACACCTTATCTATTAGACCATCTCCAGTAAATTTGTAACTATGACATAGGCTACAGTCTAAAATTATTTTTCCTTTAGTTTTGTTTCTGTAAAAGTTATATGACATTATCAATGCTACGGCTTATAAATAGTTGTCTTTTCAGTTTAACTTGGCCAAATGTTGGTATATTCAATAAAAATTATATACAATTTGCATTAGTGCACACTGTCGGTAGCCTAATTTAATTAAGTTAGTCTTGATTTTTATTCAAAAACTGACTACAAGTTTAGAATGGGGATTTAATGTATATTTCCATCTGTATTCAAATTTACCTTAAAACTATACTGATAATGTGTCAAATCGACTGCAAGTTACGGGATATTTTTAGGGTGGATTTTATTCTCCTTAGCTGGTATTTTTCAAAAATCCTCCATAAAAAATATAGGTAATCCTTTGATAGGTAGTTATCCTTATAGTCCTTATAGCCTAACAATTCTTATTTTTCCACGAAGGACTGCTCTGCACTGTACACAAAATAAAGTATTGATACATACTTACATGATAACTTGTTAATTGACAATTAAATAGATAGATGTTAAGGACATCAGACAGTAACAAACCCAAGTCTTGGACTATACCCTAAACAAATCTCATAAATTGCCAATAGCGTAGATTAAAACAAAATTAAACCATTTTTTTTTTCAGGATAAGATGTTGCCAGAGGCACAGCTGGTGTTTGCTACCCTCTCTGTTTTTGTTCTTCTCACCATCATAATGGCTCTTGTCGGATGTGTTTGTGGTTGTCGTAAGACAGTGCCCAAGTAAGTGAAAATATATAGATTAGGAGAATTATATATATTTCAATTCTCATAGTCTAACTAAAACTGCATGATAAATGTTGTAAGTGTAGGCCTACATGCTTTGATGCATCATATTATTTTCATAGTGTCTTTTAGCTGTTTGTTTTTGTATCTTTCCTACTTTGTTTGTAAACATGTCTTACTTTGTTGGATTACCCTATGTGAGATGATTTAACACGTTCGCGGCGGCACGTCAAATGGCGAGCGTATCCCAGGTGCGGCATAGCCCTCAGCATCGAACAAACCCGATTGCCGCGTGTGATTGGCTTTCCAATTTCGGTCTGACAAATAGCAAATAACGTGCGAGGATGTCCTACTTTACAACGAGAGTCGACGTAGTTCGCTAAACACCAACAGATAGCAGCACTGCTTGTGACGTAGCCGGTCCCATTGGAATTGTATTGCCAAATGGAGGGAAAAAGACGGGACAAAAGTAGAATTTTGAGATTGCCAGACGGGGATTTTACGGGAAAATTTACTACCAACCTACACCACAACAAAATACAGTATACTATTGAGCAGTGCTGTGCAAGGTTTCAAGTTTCTAGCTCTAATCCTGGCTTAAAAATAAATCAATTCGTACTGCATTGCAGCTTGGGAGCACCCACCAGTATGGCATTAGGGTTCCGTATGGGAGCGATCGCTCCCATGCCGCCGCGAGCGTGTTAAAGTAGAAATGATTCATTTAGGTCTCTTTAGGTTTAGTTATACAGTAGAAGCTCGATAAGAAGACCCTCAATAACAAGTCACCCTTGATAACAAGGGTAATTTTCAAATCCCCTTGAAATTATTTTACCCCTAATCACATGATATTGCAAACCTCGATAAGAAGTCAACCTTGATAACAAGTCTTATTTTATGATCCCTAGGAGAGTCTTGTTATCAAAGTTCTACTGTATCACAAGTTGGTAAAAATTCCAACCTCCAGCCAACTCTAAAATACCAATTTTTTTCAACATGATTTTGCTGTGATAAAAAAAAATATAGGCTAGTCATTGTTTGTAGAAAGCAGAAAATGGAAAAACACTTTTTTTGCCCAAAAGTCATGTTGCGGGTAGGTACTCAAATTGTGCAAAAGTTTACGATGAATTCAGATGATATATTCTTCATTACGATCTGATCTCGTAAAAGCCCGCCATTTATCGGAAAAGCTGAAAAACGGATACCTAAACACTATTTTTCCCGAAAGTGATGTTGTGGGTGTGAAATTTCACGACCCACATTCAATGGTATACCATTATAAGTTTAGAATTTCTTGCATAAATAAGCAATCTCATGGATATTGATGTCACCTTGAGTTTTGTTTGTAAAGATTAGTGACTAATGTAAGCGAGGAAGACTGTTTAACTATGACTCATTGACCGCCAGGAAATGAATAGTCTAGCAAAAGCTATACCGGTAACCTAATGAATGGACTATGCAATGAGTCACTCATTAACACAAGGTTAGTTCAGAATGAGTCATTGTCCACCCAATATTATAATTATGTGAAGCTCAGTTTGTTTTTCAATGGTACAAAGTAAAATTTAATTGAACTTAAAATATCGATGTTTGTTTTACTGTTTACTTAATAAATCCCTTTTGTTGCTCCCTGCAATACATTTTTTAAAGATATATTTTGAACAGTTTATTAGAAACAGTGTGTTAAAACTTCAACTTTACTTTGATAACACGGTTTTATTTTATTAGTTTCGATGTTAATTTGTTTACTTAAACAATACATTAATATATGGTACAACAAATATTCATAGGCTCCAGGTTTTTTTTGCATTTTAATATTACAGCAATCCCTCTCTTAACTGATCCTAAGGAGACCAGACCAGACCTCGGTCGGATAACTCAAAAGGTCGGTTAAAACGAGCAAGCCCCCAAAACTTAATAAAATGAAGTGCATTAATTTTGAGTCATATAATTGTTATTCTCAAGTCGTGCTTTATCTCCTTTTTTTCTTAAGTATTGACAAAAAAAGTCATAAAACACGGTACAGTCAAGTACTTTCAGTCAAAGTAACATCCTGTAGAATTTAGCGTATTATTATCATCATTGACTGTGGGAAAGGAAATGAAATCCTTAGAAAGCCGCGGTTAAACCAAACTGCTCTCAAGACAAGGTCGGTTAAAACAAACAGTAATATTTTAGGAGCGAGGGCAGATAATCCCGACTATCAGTTAATGCGAGGTCGGTTAAGAGGGGGTCTACTGTAGCAATTTTTTCATATAGGGAATAATCTATTACTGTAGGTCTCATGGTAAGACCTAGACCTGGGACCGATTTGCTTTTTTGTTTTGGTGTCTCCAGGGGCTAAAACACCGTCCATTCAAATTCATATTTACATTAGGTATGTTCATACATAAAATACCCCCGCTGCAGCAAACCTGCCGTCTAAGCGAATTTCCATTTGGCCGAATTGATTTTCAATTGATCTATTTAAATAACATTAGGTTTAACAAGTACCTAGGTTTGCTGCTACAAGGAAACTAATAAAGTAGTGTGTTTTAGTAAAATATTGATAGCTTACTATAAAATAAATAAATTTGCCAAGTTTGATCAAAATATATCCATAAACAAGCAAACTACAACATTTTACAATATTCTCCATAAGAATAACATGGGAATTTTAAATTTACTATTTTTTTAGTTTTCTCCGTAACCAATAACCGTACAAAAACACTTTGATATACTGAATTGTTTGTTTTTTTAAGCTCTTTAAGAAGGTTTAGAGAAAAATTGGGAAATTTTGTGTTTTGAGGGTAAAAAGTGAGAAAAACCAATTTTTACCCCATAAAACCCCCCATAAAACCCTGTTCCCATGGTCCGATCATGCTGGATCGCGAACTCATTCAAGTTTATCCCGCCTTACACCTTCAAACCAAATTTCATCAAAATCGGATAAAAATTACTCAAGTTATCGTGTTCACGGACACATATATATATATATAAATCTATATATATATATATATACCTATATATATATATACATATATAAAAATTTGAACGAATGGTGTTTTTGGCCTCTGGGGACATTAAAATGAAAAAGTAAATCGGTCCCGGGCCTAAGTCTTACCATGAGACCTACGGTAATAGCTACTTCCCTATAGGGAAATTCGCTAAAACCAAAAAAATATGTCTAATAACACTTGTAAAATTATATATTTACACTTGCTGTTTTGTATTTATACTGTACTGTAGTATAAGTGTATATTATTACAAGTGTTATTAAACAGGTTTTTTTTTTATATTCATAGGCCTATAAAAGGTGAATCTTGTAAGGTGTCCACTACAACAGTATTCAAATCCAGTGGTGTCCAGACAAACCGTTGGCGATAAAATTAAATTTTTTCTTAATAAACCAACCTAAAGAAATAACGTAAAAATATTCCAATTTTCTTTTTATGCATGATGTACCAAAACCAGACGTTTAGGACTACTAGTTGAAATCTCACGAATAATTGTTAAATACAAACATGGACTATGTCTTATTATGTTATAAATAGTTTTAAAGCTCAAATATAAACATTTTGGTGGAATCACAGTTTTATTCAATTTTATTGAGGGCTCTTAATGTAAAAAATGTTGTGCCGTACCTTTTTGAAAAGGTACCCTATATTTTTTTTGGAAAATGCAGATATATCTATTCTGAATGTAATTTCACATTCCTCAATAGCTAGGTTTTACTTTAATGTGATATGCAGTATTACAATAATATAGGTACCTCAAAAACAAATATTTTTTAATAGGTACATAGCCAAGACAAAAATTTTCCAATAGAGGAATGTTTTAATTCTTTTAACTAAAATTTTGTACCGTTGGGTTTAAAGCCGGACTCGTGGGTTGTACATTGTACTTAGGTGTAATTCCATAATGTTTCATGATGGATTATCCTTTGGATTGTCATAAACAACTACGCAATTTTAAGCTTCCTGTGTCGCTGTTGAAACAATTCGTCGTAGTGCAAACTGACCATAACTTAATTATATTCACACTACAATGGATCATTTTTATAGCAACACAGGTAACTAGAATTAACTGTTCTGTGCACTAAGGTTTGTTAACATTGTCTGTGTTTGCACTGTTGCATGGCATGTCATGTGTCTGCCCTGTGTCTGTGTGTAGGAATGAATTGATGGGGCTGGCTGGCATGGTGAAACTGACGAACCCAGATGAGAATGTTAATTTCAGCTGTCCTCCGCCAACTGTGCAACTCAACTCTGTGACAGTGGCCCCTGATCATCTTGTATCTCAAGCGCAAGAAACCAATAAAAGGTTTTGTTTTTGAGTCTTGTAATTTTTCAAACATCTATCTCAATTGGTTTTTAAAGAACCTTACACAATGTACCTTGCAAATTGTAAATGCTTATGCTAAGTCATAGTCATAGTATAGACGATGACTATGACTCATAGTATAGACTAAAGGAGTGCATATAACTCAAATGTTATTATTGTTGGTTTACATGTGTTTGGCCAAGTATTTTTAATTTTGAAGTTAAGGGCGTAATATTGAGCACAAGTTTTTTAGGATATTTTGTTAGGATTGCAGGCTTACCTGATTGAGAAAGATGGATCAATGAATGAACAGTTAATTCTGAGAAACATTGGCTACAGATTTTAGTTGTGCTTTTATGAATACAATATGTTGGACAGACTTAAACACTTTTTTCCACAACAGAACATAGATTTTGTGTTTTAATTAGATCGAGTCCAAAAATTTAACAAGGAACTAGCAGACATAGACAGTTCTGTCTGTGCCGTGCATCCGCTAAGTTGTTGTACATATAAAAAGAAGTGTTTTAAAATGGAATAGCAATAAAAATAATTTATTGTAAATTAATTTGGATATTAGAAGTTGCTATTAATAATTATAAAGTCAATTAATCATAAAGAAAAGAATTTAATATCATTTTTAAGCACAACTGAGGAACAAAGAGAACGGATAACTTAATTCTTTAAATAGAGCGTCTTTTGAGTAACGTCTGCATTTTCCGAATCCCATCTTAAAAATTGTTTTTTGAGCAATATTCCTACCTCATACCTACTTCCTATCCTACTTCTATAACAACCACCCCAAACTATTTTACTGAATAAGAATAATGACTGAACAAAAGCAAAGTAAGCCGTTTTTAGTTCCCTAACTGTCAAAACTAACATCTCTCACAAGTGAAGGCAAAAGATAATTTACAAATTTTGTACATGATAAATGTGATCTTCCCATTTCTATCATTAACCCTCCAAGTGTCCATAGTTTAGGCCTAATGTCCACCTATTTTTGGCGCATTTGCAAGGTTTTATTAAAACGGATTTGAGAAGCTTAAAACAATGTTAATTCTAATGTTCTATATACCATTTTGTTTGGAAAATCATGGGCTTCAATATTATATATAAAACATAAGGAACATTTTTTCAAAAAAAAATTTTTAGGTAAAAAAAATATAATTTCGACAATTTTCAAAAAAAAAATAAGTTTGCGCTCAATGAAATTGTATAAATTATAGGCCTATAAATATTTGAAAATAGCCACTTTGTTCTAAATTTTATGAGGATTACAAATATATAATAATATAAGGAAGTAGATTTGCAAATAAATAAGTTATGGGCAAAAAACAGATTTCAATACATAGCGTTTAGCTAAGAATGCATAGCCTAACCATAGCTAGGAATCTGGCTGATAATTTACATCAATATCACTACCTACTTCTTCAGGATCATCAACCAGCACTTCAAAACCACTTAAATCTTCTTATAATGCAACACGTATATCACTACTTTTGATTTTTAACACTAAAACAATGATAAACGTAATAAAACACATCAGTCATCGGTCCGAGTAACCTAGCTGTTTACAAATACACGCACGTCAGCTGTCTGCTACAATTACGATTGGCTCAGAGAACGTACAGCGCTGAGACAGACCTCTGGAGAAAGCTTAGAATATTACAGAAAGAACGATACCTAACTCGATCCAGTTCAATCCGATTCAGTCAGTCATAGAGCCTTCGCCGTAAACGATGTCTGCGTGTCGAAAAATCGACAATTAACACTACACAAAGTGTGCTGCTTGTCGAATTTTCGTCAAGTAACACTGGGAGGGTTAATTATGTCAAAGAATACAACCAAGTATAAGAGTTACCTTATCCTTTTCTATGCTTTCACTTCTACAAAATTACTTTGATAATCGTCACAATCGTGAATTGTGCTATATCTAATATATAAAATTCTCGTGTCACGGTGTTTGTCTGCAAACTCCTCCGGAACGACTTCACCGATCGTTATGAAATTTGGTGTGTAAATTCTGTAGGTATGCGAATCGGACGTAAACTATTTCCCGTTTCGAAATTCTTAAAAGGGCTCCGCCCCAGTGGCTCTGAAGTTTCCCATGTTAACCTTATGAGAAATGGAATTAATGAATCTTAACAGCTGTTTCAATTAAACAAGTTGGTTCTGTTCTATGATGTTCAATAGCATTAAAGTTACAAGTATTACCAACAGGGTGCAGCACTATTATTTCTTTTACATTTATGACAACAGCTAATTTGCAACCAAAAGGTGAGTGAGCGTAGCGAACGAACTTCAACCTGGAGGCGAGTTAGCGTAGCGAACGAGCTAACCTGAAGGCAAGTGAGCGCAGCGAACGAGCTCCAACCCAAAGGTGAGTGAGCGTAGCGAACGAACTTCAACCTGGAGGCGAGTTAGCGTAGCGAACGAGCTAACCTGAAGGCAAGTGAGCGCAGCGAACGAGCTCCAACCTAAAGGTGAGTGAGCGTAGCGAACGAGCTCCAACCGAAAGGTGAGTGAGCGTAGCGAACGAACTTCAACCAGGACGTGATTGAGCGATGCGAACGAGATCATCTTGAAAATTAAACGTAACGGTACTTTCTTTCCATCGGTCTGTCTTAGGGGAAACCTATAACTTAGGCGATACGAAGTTCGCCGGGTCAGCTAGTTGCCTTATATTATTTTGTGTATGCTTTTACACATTTTACAATAATTAATGTTGTTGTGAAGGCCTAATCAGGCAGCATCGTCGGCCACCCGTAGTCTGCCTGATCTGCCGGTTGAGTCTCAGAGACTGCAGGGCAGCCGCAGTGTGGACGGACTCTACGAGACTGCTGACGCTGGCAACGGAGACACCAGCTCCGACCTGTACGCCACTGTAGAGGATAACAAGAACGGTTGGTTACTGCCTCAACAATATACTGTGCAGTAAATCTCGTAAATGTCACACCAAGTATCAACATTCAAAATTTCTTGGCAAACCTGTGAAACATTTTCACACAAATTCACAGAACTGTTTGTGTTCAACTCTGTAACTTCAATAGTTATACACATTGCTTTTCCTTTACTATTTGGACTTGGTGTTTGGACTTGTTGATTAAAGGACCAGGACACAAGACTAACATTCCTAACAATCAAATATCTGTTTGTTACGATACCTTTTATCCCTAATGCAATCAAACTAAACAATAAATCAGGATTTTGTGAGATGCAGCTAGAAATAGTTTTGATTTAGAAATAAATTTATGAAACAAAGATGAAATATATTAGTCGTACTTTTTGGAATGTAGAATCAAGGTCTTCAATAATAATTGACAGCAGTGTATTACTGCAGTAAAACTTAATTAAAGTGACATAAAGAGTATTTAAATAAACCCAAACCTCTTAAAACACAATTTGCAACTTGGAACTGTGTAGGATAAAATTATTAATTTTACTTTAATTTAAAAATACTGTCATTAGTAAACAACATAAATGGATTTCATGTTTTAGAGCAATTAAAACTATTAACAACATAGTAAACAAATAAATATTTATACATCGACCAATTAAAATTTTTATCTGTCTTTTCACAGGGGCTAGAGGGGCAAGTCAAAAACCACAACTACCTCGAGACTCTACGATAGAGAGCAGCTACGACTCCCCGAGTCAGACTGACAATAGCCTCTCCCCGTATGCGAGAGTGAGACGAGAACATCCGTACGATCAAGTCAAACAGAGTAAGTCTACATTCGCCGCTAACTATAATACTGTTGCAGCATATCACCTGTCCTTAATGATGGGGACTAGCAAATTATTCCAACTAATAAACAAGATAAAAACAAAGCTAACACCTTGTTCCTTCTGCTCTCATTTTCACCTTAAACTTTGTGGACATCATGGTGTGTGGGCAGTGGGAAATAAAATAATAGTCAAACTCAAGTAATCCTACCTAACTTTTAATTCTGTAAAATTCTTATCTAGTCATTTTACATTTAGACTATCAATTTAAATAGACGTTAAAAGTAGATAAAACTAGTACAAAAATCTATGTATGAGTTTGAACTAAAAAAAGTTAGTGGAACCTGTCCAAAATAATCTGTACAGTATTACCAAAACTAAGCCATCAATCAATGTAGGCTAGCAATAAAAAAAAAATGGCGAAAGGAGTGGATTTGTTGAATAAATACAGAGGAATATCTGGAGTGGGGTTTATTTTAAGGTTTATTTTACAGAACGGATGTCGGGCGGAGACGTGGCAAGGACATTTGTCCCTTCCTTGCCTCTCCATGTAAACAAATTGGTCAATGCACACAAAAGTGACGTGGTGCGAGCGGCCACCATCCCACCACCGCCACGTCACTTCGCCGTCCCTCGTGGCGTATCGGAAGTGGCATGTCCGTAGCGGGCCCGTTGTTCAGACTGCAAATATTGTACTTGCCAACCTTGTTTGTTGTTTGTGTTTAGAGTAATTGTGAGTTGTTTCTTTTTCTTTTCACAATGCGTGACAACATTGAATTCAATATAAGGATTTTGTGAAGAAGTTGAGCAAATTCCATTTTTTTTACGATCACAGTAGTTCTAATTAAGTGACAGAAATAACTAATTCAGTTTACATATATAACTAATTCAATTGACATAAATAACTAACAGAAATAAGCAAAAACCAAAGCGTTCAGTCTACATACAAGTTTTCTCGCCACTGTACCGTCCCTTCTATGTGCATTGTACACGCCACGTCTCTGCCATGTCTTTGCTTCATCTGTACCACGTTTCCACCTGACGTCCGTTCTGAGTGAATTGGGCCTAAGAATCCAACTGTCATAGTGCTAATTCATATTGTATTACCAGCTGATGAACACCCATACGCCCAAGTGAGAGCCAATGGAAAGGCAGGACCAAGTCATCATGTCCAAGACCTCACTTTACACCAGTCTCCATCATCAAGGTATCACATCTAGTAAATATTATTATTAAAATAGGCCTAATTATACACCAAAACCTTCTTAATATTCTTAAATGCTCCTTGTCAAATTTGTTTGTTTGAAAATGAACATGTTGGTTTCTTAATCAATGTCCCTTATCTGGTGAGTGTATCCCAGAATTGTATGTTAAAAATGGTAATTGTTATAACAAAGTTATTCAATTCAATTTTAAATTTTTTCCATAAAAGTGTATTTAGTAAAGAGTATTGTTGGCCTAACCAAGAATAAATTTGAAAATATTAAACAGAAAAAGCTCAGCTTGTTTTATCTGAATGTTTAGAAGCTATTGACTTGTGCCTCCACGAGTTACGTCACTCTATTGACCTTGCTACTCTTTTACTCAGATGTGGATTTTTTTTCCAAAACCCTAGGCTGTAGACCGGGGTTGTTTTACACATCATTTCAGACTAGACCTAAGAGTTGTGGTATTATCACTCAGATAAAATCCATTTGGCAGGATTTGAACATAGGACCTCAGGGACCGAGGTCCCGCGCTTTACTATTACCAGCTCACTCCCTTGCGCATTGGCCTTCCATTTATCCTAATAAACCCCTACAGTTCTTACACACCAACAGACCTTTGGATATGAGAGATTTTGCTCAAGAGTTTTCATTTTAAGTTGTGTTGTGTAATATAACCAGTAATATATAATTTTAATAGGCCAGTGTGTAGCGGGGGGGCCGTTTGGTGAGGGGGTGCGGGGTTAACTACTGGGTTAAGGTATGGGATGGAGGAGGGAAATTCGGGTAATCAGGAGGGAATAAACAGGGTAATGCTAATAGGTTAGGAAAAGGTGTGTCTGGACCAAACTTAATTTCAGCGTGCTGAATCTGCTACCAATACAATTAGGAAGATTGCTGGGGACCAGAGGGACGGAGACCTTTTACCCAGATCAGAACACTTGCCTAGCCAGCTTTGATTGAACCAATTGAACTAACTATTTAAATATTAACCTATCCTTCAAATATGAACTGAACTTGGGAAATCACTTACTAATATTGATGAGTGAGGGAAAATAATGTGTAGATTGAATATTCAGTGACTAATATGTATGAATTGATGGATAATTGCTAAGCTACATTCTGGGAACATGTGGTTTAACTAACAGGTTTGAGAAGGTCCGCTACCTTAAGGGTAGCGAACCCGGCTAACATTTTGTTTCCTACATTTCACCAGTCGGGCGAGCCAGAAGGGCTCCCCGCTTGTTACCTGACTTAGCCAACCATAATTTGAACTTATTACTACTTATTAGCTATCAATTAACTTATCCATCATATCGAGAGAATGCCTGGTGTTTTCCGGAGAGGTTTTCTGTCCAGATGCCGGTTTTCTGAGAAGGAGGACAAGACTAGAAAAGGTGGGGATAGAGCATTGATGCAGTCGCGGCAGGCAACGAGATGAACATGCAGCCCGGCTTCGCGAACTGCACACACTATAAAAAATATAGCGTGCCGCTATGCGTCACAACCCTATGTAGCCGGGGGCCGTTTGGTGAGGGGGTGCGGGGTTAAGGTATGAGATGGAGGAGGGAATTCGGGTAATCAGGAGGGAATAAACGGGGTAATGTAATAGGTTAGAAGGTGTGTCTGGACCAAACTTAACATAAGCGTGCTGAATCTGCTACCAATAAAATTAGGAAGATTGCTGGGGACCAGAGGGACGGAGACTTTTTACCCAGATCAGAACACTTGCCTAGCCAGCTTTGATTGAACCAATTGAACTAACTATTTAAATATTAACCTATCCTTCAAATATGAACTGAACTTGGGAAATCACTTACTAATATTGATGAGTGAGGGAAAATAATGTGTAGATTGAATATTCAGTGACTAATATGTATGAATTGATGGATAATTGCTAAGCTACATTCTGGGAACATGTGGTTTAACTAACGAATTGAGAAGGTCCGCTACCTTAAGGGTAGCGAACCCGGCTAACATTTTGTTTCCTACATTTCACCAGTCGGGCGAGCCAGAAGGGCTCCCCGCTTGTTACCTGACTTAGCCAACCATAATTTGAACTTATTACTACTTATTAGCTATCAATTAACTTATCCATCATATCGAGAGAATGCCTGGTGTTTTCCGGAGAGGTTTTCTGTCCAGATGCCGGTTTTCTGAGAAGGAGGACAAGACTAGAAAAGGTGGGGATAGAGCATTGATGCAGTCGCGGCAGGCAACGAGATGAACATGCAGCCTGGCTTCGCGAACTGCACACACTATAAAAAATATAGCGTGCCGCTATGCGTCACAAGTGTAATATATAACTTTATCGTTAAGTAATAGTTTCTCAACTTATTTCCTGTCAACAGTTCTGTAGAGCACACTGACAGTCCAATCGCTCCACCTCGCACTCGCAAGTCCATCTCTCTCTCCCAGAGCTCTCTGTCTTCCAACCTAGGAGTGGAGGTGAACATACCTGCGGCCACAGCCATCGCAGGGGGTATACCAGCCAATCAGGAGCTGCCTTATATGACTCCACCCCTCCCCCTGCCCGCAAGTCCCCCCTCCCACCAGCCTGTGTCGCAGACCCAACATTTCAGTGGCGACTCTCAGGATAGCAGTAGTGAGTAATATTGCAATTTTGACCTATTTTAACGTATGTCATCTTCAGCAGAAAATACTGACTTATATTTTTGGGTCCAACCTAACAAATGTTGGAGGATACGAACGAATAGAGAGCTGAGAAAAACCATATAGCACTTAGATATAGTGGTGCTGGCCAAAAGTAAGCTAATATAGTTGATTAGACAACATGCCTAGTTTGAAGGACAGAAGGTATTCCGATCCTTATAATTGTTTTCTTATGAGTACTACAAATTAGACGACCACTTGAAAGACCAAATAGCCTACTGGAAAAAAACACAAAGGTTAAGATTTCAGTGGCCAGGGAGGTAAGGCAAGGCAAGTAATAGTATTTAATGGGGGGTATTGTGTCCCCAATTTCACTTCAAAACGTTTCCTACAGATCAACAAAGTTGCTGTTTTTGTAAACTCGTTAAATTAAAAACAATTGACACATAACATTTGTTTACAAGATGTTTTTCTCATTAAAAATGTCAGATTAATTAACTTTATTATAGGTAAATATCAGTGTGAGGGAGCCGTTGTCTAACATACTCAGACAGGAATTGATAGTTAATAGTATTGTACCATGTTGCAGAGGGCTACACTAGCATCAGTGTGAGGGAGCTGTTGTCTAGCATACTCAGACAGGAACTGATAGTTAATAGTATTGTACCATGTTGCAGAGGGCTACACTAGCATCAGTGTGAGGGAGCCGTTGTCTAACATACTCAGCCAGGAACTGATAGTTAATAGTATTGTACCATGTTGCAGAGGGCTACACTAGCATCAGTGTGAGGGAGCCGTTGTCTAACATACTCAGCCAGGAACTGATAGTTAATAGTATTGTACCATGTTGCAGAGGGCTACACTAGCATCAGTGAGGGGGAGCCGTTGTCTAACATACTCAGCCAGGAACTGGTAGTTAATAGTATTGTACCATGTTGCAGAGGGCTACACTAGCATCAGTGTTAGGGAGCCGTTGTCTAACATACTCACCCAGGAACTGATAGTTAATAGTATTGTACTATGTTCTAGCATCAGTGTGAGGGAGCCGTTGTCTAACATACTCACCCAGGAACTGATAGTTAATAGTATTGTACCATGTTGCAGAGGGCTACACTAGCATCAGTGTGAGGGAGCCGTTGTCTAACATACTCACCCAGGAACTGATAGTTAATAGTATTGTACCATGTTGCAGAGGGCTACACTAGCATCAGTGTGAGGGAGCCGTTGTCTAACATACTCACACAGGAACTGATAGTTAATAGTATTGTACCATGTTGCAGAGGGCTACACTAGCATCAGTGTGAGGGAGCCGTTGTCTAACATACTCAGCCAGGTGCCTCGCAGACAGGAACTAATTGACTCTCACTACGCCACTGTATCCGACGACTCTGGTAAAATAGTAACTTTTATCATAATTATTCTAGGTGTAGATGAAAATTTCCTGAAAATATCTTAAAAACATTCATAAAGTTTTTTGTTTTTTTTTCAGGTCAATCAATTAATTTTTTTTTTATGAATTCATTCATGTTATACAAAAGGTGCCAAAAACCATAAACAAGTTTTGAACACCAACATGTTAATGAAAATATATATTGTTACAATTGGAGATGTAGGCTATGTTACATACAATGTTCTATAATTCAGTCTGTGCTATGTATCTTACATCATCATTTTTTTTTTCAGATGAGATGTACGCAGCCATTGAAGAGCCTAACCAAGCAGTGTACACCAGTGGTAGTGAGACTTACGCTCAGATTCGCCCCATGGGAATAACGGTGGCAGCTACTGTAAACCCTGTACCTGTAAGAACGGAGAGTTTACAACCACAACAACCCTCTACAACATCCTTGGCAACAGTTAAGAATCACACCCGCCAAGGTAACCCGCTAAGATTTGTGATGATAATCCATATTCTTAGTTAATTCTTTGTATATTCATAGGCTTTCTAAAATAATAATTGTGGTCAACGGAAAGAATACTGTCTCTTTAGTACTCATCTAGAGGTTTAAATTATTACCTAACTTAAGAAAAATGTATATAAAAATAGTGTCACAACACTACAATAGTCGCTAATTATCGCTAACAGCAATGAACCAATTTTTTCTGGTTGAGATTTTTATTTTTTTTCTCCTTAGGTGATTTGAACAGTTTTGATGTGGATGGTTGTCGCTCTACTGAATGGTTTTTCCACATACCATTTAAATGCTTATTTGTTAAATAATGTTTAGTATCCGTTCCAGAATCATCTTCAAGTGCCTGCAGTTCAATCGCCAACCCCTCGTCACCCAAGCCAGAGAAGCGACAGGCAAACTCTCCTCTGCCACGGCCACCTGACCCTGGTACCTCTGTGGATGAGATGTACGCCAAGGTGATGAAGAAGAGGCGGAGTAGTCACTCTATCAGTAGTGTGGACCATGATACAGGGCCTGCGTCTCTACCTGGCTACGAGACTGTGCGCAGGTCAGTTCCATTTGTAGCTAGACGGTAAAGTTCTAGTGCCACAGAGGTCAAACAATTTGTTTTGACACCCACAGCAGCAACTACCACTAAAACCTCAATAACTTGTCCCAGAAGCCAGCTTGTCAGAGGCTGTGTAATCCAAAAACCATTTCCAGCAGCAACAATATCTACAGAAGTCATAGAATTTGTATCAATGCCAGGCTGTGGAACCCAGATTAAAACCAGTTCTATTTGCAAATAACAGTTTGCAACAATTGCAACAGTAGCATATTGATTTTTAAATCCAACAGAGTTAACTATGAAATAATACACCATTTTTTATGTGACAATGAGCACAGGGTGTTTTTAGTCACTCAGTGTCCAATGGGCTACAGATGTGTTTTTTAATGTGTAAATACAGACTGGAAAGTTTTGTTGGATGTTAATCAGTAGTTAAATTTAACTAAGCCAACGACAACTAACTACTAATTTACTCTCTCTTTCGGAAATATATGTTTCTGTTGTGTAGCAATAATTTACAACCATTGGCTTTTGTTATTGCTTTTAAAATTAAATTAAAGCGCTGACTTGCACAGCAAAAATTAAGCTACTTTTTTTTGCAAAAGCAAATGTCATAGAAATAGTACTATGGAAGAAGGAATGGATATAAAACTAACTTACACAAGATAAGAGTACCAGACTTCTATCTTGTGAATAAGGCGTAAGGGTAAAATGTCAAGTTAATTGTGATCTGAACTTTTTCTACCTAACTGGAACTCTTTTCAGTGTATCCACTTCTCTGTCTAAAATTTACAATAATAATTTAATTAATTCTTCTTTACAAGTTGATATTAATTTATTATGTTATATTGTTGGTCTCCAGGAGTCATAGTCCCCATGGAGGTAACACGGCCTTTGGTTATGAGACAGTTGCCAATCATTGTGTGAGTGAAGGAGACGTGTTCTGTTCTGGTTATGAGACTGTTGCTGGAGAACATGATAGCCTTGTTCCAGGCTACGAGAGAGTTGCAGGTTTGTGTGCGGAACTGTTTTTTTTTTTTTCTTACGAGACTTTTTCTGACATGCTCCATAACGACTTTTGATTGAATTAGTAATCAATTAAATGATTGTCAAAACTTTGAATGGACCTATTGACTTACCTCAACTTTATTTTTCAACTAAAAATCGTGATTTTTAGATATTTACTATTAGTCTTTTTTTTATATCGTTTGATAGGACATTTAAAATTTAAATTAAGGTATTTTAGACTTTTTCGTAAGTCATTTAAGTTAAGTTATAAAAATTAAAATGATCAATATTATGAAAAAAAATGTTTATAATGATCAGCTTTTGCCAAATGTAGTTTATTTGCTACACCGAATGATTGGTATAACAAACTCCATAAAGTAAATTCCATTTCGGTGTTAAAAATATAGCCTGATTTAAAAATAAATAAAAAAAACCAAAATGGCAAAATCTTTAAACAAGGTGCTTTTGCAAAAAATAAATTATTCTCGATATTTGTGTTTTTTTTTTCAGTTGTAAAATTTAATTTCTATTATAATTTAACTAAAAAAAAACTATTCAAAACAGTTTGTACTTGCTGTGAGACACAAAGTCAGCACCATACCTAGCTGTGATAGATTTCTCACATTTTACCTGCTGTTTTATTTAAGCTGGCTTATGTCTTGTTAATTTTAAATACAAGTATGCTAATACAGAAAATAAAAGTGAGAAGAGTTTTATACCTCCTCATTTTCTAAACAATAAGCCAATTGTATTTTCAAAAATGATTATCTAATAGAAATTACCTAAAGGCAGTAAAAGTGTTAATCTTACAGGAGGTCGAGAAGAACATACTTCAGATGTGGAACCGAACTACGAGGAGTTGAAGCCACAAAACACAATGTACGCGATGGTCAACAAAAAGCGGAAAACATCGAAGTTGTCTAACTGCGAGCCTGACTACGCCAGTCTTTCTAGGAAAGACTCGGGCTACGAGAGAGTGGAGGGGTTTGATCCGAACTATGAGAGTTTGTGTCGCGACTCTGACCCAAACTACGAGAGTGTCGAGAAGCCAGAGCCGCCTTACGAGAAGGTACAAGCCTCGACGAGCAACACACCTGTCTTCAAAGACAACGGAATTCATGAAGACGTTTACTCACAAGTGGTAAAGAACCGAACAGTCAGGTGAAAGCTGCGGTGAGTGTCTGTTATTGTTGATTGTTTATACTATAAATCGAGAGGCATTGAGATATTTATATATTGTTAAAGTTAAAACCAATGGTATATTTTTAATACAATTTATTCGTGGGAAAAGATAGTGACAGGTTTGAAAATTTAGGTTTGGGAACCATAAAAAAATTGGGAATATTTTTTAATGGCAAAGATGAAAGGTGTTTGGTTTTATGTGTGTAATTAATCACGGCCGTGTCTTCATCTCAAACCGTTTGTGTTTTTTTAACCAGACACAGAAGAAGTCCAAAACCTAAAAAAATATAATATTAGTACCTAGAAGTATTTTAGGTTGCATCTGTAAATTATCTGCACCATTGTGAATATTAGAATAGTAAAAACTGGTAGAACATATTCAAGAAAATATTGCCTACTATTGGATAGGCATATGGATAGGTAACATATTTTTTGTCCTAAGACGCTAGGCACGAGCCCGGGATTGTTGTTTACATTACTTCAGGCTATACCTAAGGGTTGCGGCGTTATAACTTAGATAAAATCCATTGGTGATTTGGCGGGATTTGAACAAGGGCCCTCAGGGACCAAAGTCCCGCGCTCTAACCACTACACCAGCTCGCTCCCCATGGATAGGTACAATAATGCTTCTGAGTATCAAAAGACTAAATACCAAAGTATTCATCCAAAATTAAACATTTCTTTAGCAGGACTGAATTAATTTATAATTTCCACAGTTGGTTTTACAGGTTTTATCACCATACTTTATTTAAGATCATCATTTATTGAAGGCTATAGGTGACTAAACGCTTTAACTAATGTGTCATATTGACAACCATAGCTTCCTTTACTTGTTAATCAAATTAACATATGTGTGTGCATTTATTCAAAATGTTTATTCAGGTGATTCCTATTAGTTAAACAATTGTAACCTATTCTATATATCCATGAAATGGATGCTGCTCAATATTCAACCCATGAGTTTGTTATCTTTTCCCACAAAATAATCAGCCTTTGGCTATTCCTAACATAGTTATTTAAAATGTTCTAAGAAATAAATATAATGTATATATTTAATTTAAAACTAGTATTGTTATATAAAAAAGTAGGACTTACTTTTGTTTGATATTTATTATTTTATTCTTCATGAGAACCAATCATTGAAATTGTGGTAATTATTTTTACCAGTGTTTGTCAAATTTGTATGAGACATCTCTTTTAGAACATTGTTCTTCTTAATTCTGTTCTTCAGTCATACAAGTAGCTTAACGATTAAATTAATTGTTTTCCTAGACACCTGCATGGTTTTAGCAACCTACCTATTAAACATAAAAGTTGTTAATTAAAAAAGGGTTTGATAGATTATATAAATATATTCACTATTTTGTGTATCTATCTTCAAGACTGTATAGTGATATAAAATATGTTAAATGGTGATTGGTCACTCTAATCAACATTAGACTTGACAGGCACCAGGCGAATCTACATTTAATAAAAACAAATAGAACTGAGCGCATCACTAATGCACTCTTACCCTCAGCACTCTTTTCTGCATCCCAAAGGAACCATGTGGCAAGATATCACATGTAATTTTAAATAGAAAAATAAATAAAGTTAAAATATATCTTAGACTAATAATAGTTGAGTAATGAAGGGTGATATAATATGTAATGGAATAATAAATAATTAATAATTAAATAAATACATATTCCTACATTTTTTTCAATAAAACAGAAGTCTATTACTAAAAAAACCCGAAATTACATATTCGGGAAAATTACAAGTTTTTGGTTGTTTTAAAAATGTTAAATTGTTTTTAATGTTGTGAATTTGTTATTAAATGTAAATGTAGGTAGGTATATAAAACAAAGAGTAATCTAAAACTTCAAATAACAAATTAAAGTTTTTTGGACAGCTATTTTTTTATCTCATAAGATGAATTGATACATCAAAATATCTTAAAGTATCTTTTACTGGTTGGATATTTTATATTTTTACGCCTAACACATTTTACATGCAAGAATCAAAAACGCTTTCAAGGGAAGGCGATCCAAATCCATACAATATTTGTTGATATGTCAGGATAGAAACTATGGGTATATTGGAGGGGGGGGGGAGGACTACTTTGTTCAACTTTTATAAGGCAATTTTAAATCCAAGGCATTATTAACTACAAAACCCCAGAGTGTGGTTAGTTTATGTTTTACAACAAAAAACAGAGTTGTACTGTGTATAATCTTGCAAAGTGATTAACTTCAAAATTGTAAAAAGCTTTTAGTTGAGTGCAATATTTTGTGTAAAATTTTCTGTTCAGTGTTCCATTAGTAGAAATCAAAGATTTTTTAGGCTACAACAAAATACACTGGTTCATCAATAGTAGTCACCAGTTAATAAGACTGAGATTGTCACAGTTAATTCATTTTTATATGATTTTTTTTGTGTGAGATCTTATAAATACCTATAGTATGTATTTTTATGATTTGAAAATAAGTTGCTGTTGCTCACAATGCAGTAGGGAAATTAATAACAATAGTTTTAACATGTTTCTTTCTCCTTTAGTAAAAACATATGAAAAACATTATATTTAATCAAATTTTTCTTAGCAATTAATTTGTTCAGGTAAGGTTTTAATTTTACAAAAGGACAGTTATTTTATGTTTTTCCATTGATATTTTAACTAAATTATATTTGTATATATTTTTTTGTAAATTTATACTACGCAGTTGCTTTATTTTCAGTTGTTTCACTCTACAAAAGTTGTATTAGGTTTTTATTAGCATTTTTATGTGCGAAGCTTTTTATTTAAAACTCTTAATGTTTTCATTTTTGGTTAGTAAACCAAGTGACTGGATCTACATTGTTGTAATTCATAAGAATACTTGAACGTTGAAAGCTAAACCCTTAAGATGATGGATTATTTTATTCTTTGACAAGTTGAAGTTATTGGGGTTTCCTTGCAGATTCTGTTTAAGTTAAAGTAAAACTAATTACTTGTGAATGAAATTATGTTCTTGGACATTTAACTAGCTTTCAACTTTCAATACTTTTAACAAATACAGTAGACACTCTATTCTGGCTGGTTTAAGACTGGACTCTTGGTACGACAAAAAAAATGGTCAGACGATTCAACAGTATTCTGAACGAATACATCACAGCTCTTTCTGTTTACATACATTTGTTTTTACTTGGTGCTATTTGCATTTACCATTGATTAGTAATATCCAATGCATCTACTACTGATGAATCCATATTATGAATTAATCAAACTTAAAGAAATAAAATGATAGCTCATTAATCATACTGTGAAGTACAGACAACAAGTATTTGACTGAACTGATCTAGACATTTTAGTACTTTACACTAAGAGGCTAGCTGGACTATGCAGAATTTAGGGAGGCTACTGTAATGAAATATTTCAATTCCATTTTGGAAAGAACAATTGACAATATGACATTACACGTAGGAGAATGCAAATTATGTAGAGTAATTTATTTTGGAGACTTGAAGTTAACAAGTCATAGGCAATAACCACAAAAATATAGAAAGAAATGCAAATTAAGTTGTCAGTATATTTTCAAATTTTATTAAGTAATATTTTCAAATTGGCCTACTCATCATTTCCTGGATTAAGTTTACAACTTTAGCTTATGTTTTTCTTGTTTATTGTTACGAAATGTAATATTTATCTTTGCAGTTCAAACCCTAATACCCTTTGCATTGTTAAACTGTTGTTTATAGACTGTCCAAGTTTAAAATCCTTGCTCATAAAGTTTGCTCAACAATTGAAGGGAATGCAATTTAAAAAATAATGAACATGCAATATAATTTTACTATAATCATGTAATAACTTTACAAACCCTTTTGCCTCAAATTTATGAATCAAATAGATTACTTATTTTCAAAAGTACGGTATGTAAAAAGTTGTGTGTACCTTCTTTTGTTAATTATTTTGTGGATGATCGATAATGTATTTTATTCAATTAATCTGAGCCAGACTTGATTAACTCTCTTACATTTAATGTTGTTGCCTGTAATGTTATTTTGGAGTTTGTGTAGCATCATATGTCAATGAGTACCAGATTAAAATTTACATCTTATTTGGGTTGCAATGGTCTTAATTGGTTTGGTTCATGGGAAAATTTAAGTATTTTCAAAATACACATTATTTTGGCAATTAGTACTATTATGTCAAAATGTTAGAGCAATTAAAACAACACCAATAAGTAATGAATGCATTGTAATTGTTCATAACAGTATTGCAGGCTGTTACTCTACTGTTTCCTCATTACTTCATAAACTTCCTTGAGTTAAAATATATCTACAAATATATTATGAGCAAATTGTTTGTGGCGAAAGTGTACCTTTCAAAAACGTTATGTATAAGCTTTATTTATTTAAAATATTTAAAATAAGAATTAACAATGCATTTTTTTCTTTCCTTAAAACAACCATTTAATTAGTTTGGAAATTTAGCTCAAACTGATTCAAAACTTTAAACCACTCACTAATAAAGAACCTCACATATATAATGTAATATGGTGTGCTGATACAGTTCACATATTTGTCAGAATCTAACAGTTGCCAAATTTGTAAGATTAGACTGTAACTCGCTCCCAGACTCCCTTTTTTGGTTGCGGGATTGTTGGAAATATACTCGGAGAAAATCTGTTACTCAGTAAAATAATACAACTAAGAAGTTAGTAAAATACTAAGCACTGTAGACTAACACAACTGAAATGTTTTTGATACAGAATAATTAATTAAAGGGGGGATTGATTTGGGGGGGGGGTGTAAATTGTATACACTTTTCTTAATTATTCCTTGGTTTTAAATCTAATACTAGTAACCGTGAAACGTTCCAAGTCCTCTCCAAGATGAAACTGGGGGGGTTTCAATTAATTATATAAGGGGCTTATATTAAATAGGGGGCTTTAGGAGTTTTTAAAAACGTGTTATGTCGTTTTCAGTTGTTTGATTTGGGGGGGGGGGGGGTGAATTCAAAATTTACAATCACCGAAAATTTCAAGTCTAGCTCATCTAGAAGTGGTCTAGAATTTGTATCCTTTAGTTACATATGCGGTAGTAAAGTATTTAGATTGCAAATTTTTTCAGTAAGAGTGAGCTGTATTTTGTATTATTCACTGTATTTTAATGATTTCTGTTCATTTTTAAGTTGGTTTAATATACATATACTTGACATTGTAAAGGCCTAGTAATATTCTTTAGATACTTTTATGTTACCTTTTTAGCATTACTAAAATGTTATTATTATTTTTACTTTTTTACTATTTACTGTTTTATCTTGTATATGATGTTTTGTTAAGAGTTAACTAGCCAATGTTTGTAATTGATAAACATTTTAAAGTGAATCTTCTATGTTTAGCACTAGGAACTGGTCAGTTGAAAAAATATATTACACTTACCATTAAATGGGTAGATTCACTACATAAGTCATTGTGTTCAGTAAACTAGTATGTTAAGATATTTAAAAATGTTAACAACTTTATAAAATTCTTAGTAAAAAGTTTAATTTTTTGTATAAACATATTTAGAGAATTTTAATTAATTATTAAATGTTTGTTTTATTTAATTTTGACAAATTTGGAGTACTGTATGTATTCCCTTTTTATTAAATTAAAATGTAATAGCTTATGTGGTTTCTTTCATGGTTTTAAATAGTTTTACTACTCTACAGAGAAATAATAAACATTGTGTTACTTTTCAGGAAAATTTGTTGTAAACATTTATTATTTTGTATTTATAAGTAGAAGTTCATGTTTTCTGTACATTGAACCAGGCTGTGATAATCCTTTTATATATGGAAACTTTATAAATAACTTTGTTAAACTATATTACTGTTCAACAGTATTTTTGGTTTGCCAGTTGTATAATTTATATATGAATTATTTAACTTCTTAAATAAAAATAAACAATTAGTTAAAGAGAGTAAATGTGTTTGTTTTGTGGACCTTGCCTCGACTTTGGGTTTTGTTGTTTTACATTAAAGAGATATTTTTCTACTGTTACAGCAAAGGGGCTTGTAAACTAGTCCTCTCTTTATGTCCAAGAATATTCTGAACTTAGAGTTTGGTAGTGTACCTTGTTTTCCCCCTTTTTTCAAACAATGTGACCATAAATATACCCAACATATATTTTATATTTTACCCATTTTCACGCCATTATTTAGTTTCCGATCCAAAACTTTGTTTGGTCGTTCTTTAAAAAATGTATTCATCACAACATAATATTAGCAATCTGATATTTAAGACTTTCTCCCATTAGCTTGTGAACAAACATTATCATGGGTAAGTGGTGGCAGTACTAGTAACTATGATATTTTATAGGGAAAATGTCAAAAGTTGCAATAACTTTCAGCAATGGGGGGTTGCACAATTTTTTTTATTTTTTTTTTACAAAGACCATAACACATTAATTGAACTGGGTTTTTTTAAAGGGCGTAACACATTAAAGTAAACTTTTTTAGAACTAATACATTTTTTTATAATTTTAATTTCTTAAATTTGTATGGTTATTTACACTTCTTACG